GGATTACAGATGATTTCAGCGGATTTTACCGGATTTCGGCGGATTTCACAAGATTCCGGCGGATTTTACGCGATTCCGGCGGTTTTTACAATGACCTTCTAAGGATTTCAGACTAAAATTTGCTGGCAGATTACGCATGACTTCATGATTGCAGGTGGATTTCAAATGATTTCGGGAGGATTTCAGGGAGGGCGTACACATGATTTCAGTAGTGGCGGCCCCCTCGGATCGGGTGCGATATTCTACCTTTCCAGTGGTGCTAAACCCGTTTTTGAGGTGTGCAAAGTGTGCATTTTCAGATTTTCCCAAATATTTTCTCAATGAGCAGAACCGATCACATTTTGGGAAATATTGTCCCATTCCTCGCAAAATAGGCAGTTCAGTTCATCAAGGACTACAAATTGACACAGGGGTTTTACTGAATGTTGAAAAATAAAAATTATACATGATAAGTTTTATTGAGAAAATATATTTTGTAATCCAAATAGCTATAGCTATTTGGGCTATTTGGGCATTAAAATGCCCACACTTGTAATTCAAAATTGACCAACACACTAACTGATTTGTATCTTTTATTTGTACGAACTTAAGCAATCAAATTTGTGGCACACATTTCGCGTTGATTTGAACACTTTTGTGCATACTCATTCGTAGGAAATCATGCTCTGTGTCGTACAAATATGTGCGAAATGAAACGTAGGTTTAACTTAGAGCGAATATTTGCACAAAAACATACAAATACATTGAGTGCAAATGTACTGATGCTGGCTGTCCTGTAACCCCTAACCCTCTCGCTTCTCCTCCTTTCCCCCCTCTCACTCTTCGGTAGTTTGAAACGTCGTCGTAAGCTCACCGGCCATCCCCCTCCCCTTTTTCACTCGTCCGCCTGATAACTCGCTAAATTGCGTCATCTACTTGACTTTCCTCCGGAGGGCCAGACGCTGCTCGCGCCAACTAACGTCTAACTCGATTTTCCCTCTCGACATTCTGTTTTATTTCCTCCCCGTCTATATTATTTGAGTCCATCTTCAGTGGAGGTGCACGTCCGTGCTACTGGGCTGGGGTTGTATCGGCGGCGGGAGAGAGACACCTCTCTCTCTCTCTCTCTCTCTCTCTCTCTCTCTCTCTCTCTTCCTTCTTTCTCCGTCCGTGTTTTGCGCGCACGCCACGTAATTCATCCCAAACCTTATTATCGGGCGAGAAGACGGATCTTGTTGGGGAGAGCGGGAGGCCGGAGTTAAGTTGGGCTAAGTGGCACGGGGCGATCCCGAAGAAGTCCGAGGGGAGAGAGGAAGAGGGAGGCGACTGTCGCTCAGGCTCCAGGTCAACTGGTTGGGCAGGGCTTTTGGGAGGGAGAGAGAGTGAGAGTGAGAGATGCATACCACCACAGTGCCCAGCCTCGCCTCTGTTTAATTCGGGCCCGTATTTTTCTCTCCTTTGCCGCTGCCTGGACACATTTTTCCGGCGACGAGGAGAAGGGAAACCGACAGAATGTCCGGGCGAGTTTAAGGAGGTAGGCGGGATACACTGCCCCCCTCCTGCACACGGTCTGGCATGCGGGTGGCAAACTCAGGCACAAAATATTTTTTTATTTTGGATTTTCAGTCGGACAGTGCTGCGACGTTTTTTTTTGCTTCCTCTCAGAACCTCCAAAGCAGTCTTTTCATTTTACTTTTTTGAGCGACACCATAGCAGCTGAGCGTAAAAGCGGGGGAAGAAAAATAGATATAGTATTCTACACAAAAAGAGAACAGGCGGACAGTATTCGTAGCCCCGGAATAAAAGGCGTTTACACGCGCCACGCAACGCCACGCCACTTCCCCTGCTCATTGCACACAGTCATTCCGGTTTCGTAAACGCGGATTTCACGCGCCATTTGCCGACGCTAGGGAGAGAAAGAGCGACAGAGAGGAAGGCGGGAAGAAAGAGGAGAGCGAAACGAAGACGTGGGTAAGGGTAGAGGCGAGAGAAGCAAGAATGTGTTGCCACTCAGTAGTGCGCCGTCCGAGAGGGCGGCGGTCAGAAACAACAACCAGACCTAGGTCCTTATGCGGTATCACCCTACTCCGCCACCACACCCACATTCCTCTTTTTTTCACATCACCTCCGCGCTGTCAATCACGCTCTCATCCAGTAAGCCTGCGATCTACCCAGCCCCCTCTCTTCCCTCACACGTACTGGCTCAGCCTCCACACCCCTCCCCCTCCCCACTCCCTTTGCGTTCTCGGGCGGCTCCACGGATCGGCCGTAACGCAGTATAGATTACCTATCCTCCTCAGAACCGATCACGGTAAGTCAAAACTTTGGACAGCGCGACGGCGGCAGGGTGGAGGGTGGCGGCGGCGGGGAGTTGGCTGTGGGCGCCCCTCCCCTGTCACTTCCCCCGCCCCCTCACCCCTGTTCTTTTCCCCTTAGGCTTCTCGCTTCTCCCCCCGCACTCCCCCTTCTGCATCCAGGCTCGGCCCTAAATCCAGGCGTTTGCCAGACGCGTGGCATTTGTCAAGAGCTGGCTGAGCGCCCACCGGGCCCGAGGGGTGGCCTCCGGGGCACACAGCCCGCCCATCGCGCTGTCCTTGTTGCACTCGCTGCGCCGGGCTTTGCGCAGCGGGGCTCAAAGAGGGAGAAAGAGAGAGAGAGAAAGTAGTGCGTGTTCGACGGGCAGCGAGCAGCGGGGTGCGGGACTCGCCGGGGGCGTGGCGGGGGGTGCTGCATCCTGCGGCCGGACATATCTAGACCACGTGTTTTATGCTCAACTTGAGAAAACAAGATAAAAGCCAAGAATACACGCTCTCTCTCTCTCAGACTCACGCATACACTCACACGTGTGAGTGGAGGGTGGCCCGGGGGGAGACACTGAAGTAAACTCCCCCTGGAGAGCGACCCAAAGCGCCGTGCATGCAGTGGGCGACAAAGTAAAGTGTGTTTGCTGTGCTGGCCATAGTATTGCTGTCGCCCTGTCGCCTGCGGCCTGACCATTTCCGTCACGCAATTTTCTGAAGGACATCATCAAATGATGTAAATTTTGCCCCGCAGACACGAGAAAGGGATGTAACTATGAGAGAAGGGCGCCCTGGAGAAGAAGCTTTACAGAACCGAATACCCGCTTTTCTGACCGGGAAACCGAAAGGCTCGTAAAATTTTCATCTTGCCAGGACGACGTGCAGCCTGGATTCCTGAGTGTTTACCCCGTGGCGTGGTCTTTTCCGCGTAGTTCTGCGATCAAAACTACGCTTTCCCGAGCCGATGAAAGCGCGCCGTCGGGGGTCGGCGGAGCCGACGGCCGTCCTGGCGGCCAGTGCGTCTGTCCGGTTTGGCATATTCCACCTCATTTTGCCCAATTGTGTGTGAGCCGATTCAGTTCAAAGTTGATATCTAGAGGTTTTCGAGGGTGCTTATTCCATTTCCTGTGTCGGGTTTTACTTCCGGTTTCTTCTTCAGGGCGTTGTTGGGGCGATGTGATGGATCGCGTCAGCATAAAGGGTCAGCCAACAAGGGTACTTAAACCCTTTGGCCTTAAAGTGAAAAATTGTCGAGATCGTGATTTTGCCTCTGTAGTCAAAATGTTTTATTCATTTTCAACACACCATTTCTATGTTAAGCATTACAGTGTTTTTCAGAAGCACGTGCTGTGCCCTCATGCAGAAGAACATTTTGTTCCACAAATCTCTCTTAGATTTCGCAACTGGTATGGTTTCAAAAAGGCAGTCGGTGATTATTCCTCCTTCGTACATGTTTCCGGCGAGGTCGGTCTCGAACCTGTCGATGCAGTCGGCTAGTTCGGAAGACAAATTTGGGTTCGCAGCAACGACCGCTTTTATTTCCTCCGCACGGAAAGCGTGGTACTCGATCTAGAAAGCAATGACGGAAGTTGGAGGTTTTTAGCAGATGATACCTTAAATACCTCTTGACTAAACATAAAGAATTTATAAGTAATTTTAACGTGTCAGAGCTTTTACTCTCGATACTGAAATTGAACCAAGCGGAGACCAGAAAACAATTTCTTTGGTGCTGCGGGAATGGTGTCCGAGCGTCCTCGTCCTAGTGTCACACCAGGGCCAGGCCCCTTTCCACCCTGCCTAACAATACCCAAATCCAGCCAGAAGGAGCAGGTTCCCTGCCCAACAATACTGGGCCACCGACGCCAGCCGCTCTGTCCACCGGCCCCCTATCTCCTCCTCTACGCCGCTATTCCGACGAATAGCAAAATTGCAAGTAACACGCAGCCACAATCAAATACAGCTAAATATGAGAGAAAAATTAGAACACAGACAACAGACCTATACTTAAATTTGAATCATCTGCTTTCAAGATCGATTCTTGATTGAGATTTTTTTAAGGGTGGCATTGAAGGAATGGGCAAGGTAGCTGTGGTACACACGTATACTGTTTTGAAACAATGACACTTACATGGCATCCGTCCATATCGCACACGTCCTTCGTCCACCAGCGTGAACCCTGCACGAGACAGAGGCCAGCTAGTAGCACTGAAATGAAAATCAAAAATGTTCATTGTATTTTAAAATGCATCAAACACAACCTACTCTGCAAACTCAAGTGAAATACAGTACTGCACCAAATGGTGCAGTACAACAACTGTGTCTCAACAACCCAAAACTATTTTCTATTGTTACAGAGCAATAACGATTTAGAGACACCACACTGTGAAAAATAGTAATAAGGTTTATAGGAAAACTTTCCTTGACGCAAATTGTAAAATTACAATTTTTATTCGTAAAAGTACATGCATTCCCTTGTAGCACCAAACATTCAGACAACGTTCTGAGAACGTTCTTTTGGTTCTTTGAAGGTTCTGTAAACGTTCTAAGAACGATATGTGCTACAAGGGACGTATCGACTTAAAATCCATTGGCCAGTAAAAAATTTGCTCACGTAAATTTACAACTTAAATTATTATCCGAGTTTACAAAAATGTCGTAAATGTACGACGGTATTTTTTACAGTGCATCTTATTCGGTGCAAATTGCCTGTTCAAACAAGCCAACATGTGAAAGGGTTCTGATTGAAAAAACCTTGCTTCTAGAGATTTTTTTTTTTGAAAACATTAATAACTTAATATAACAATTATTGTTGCTCTGAACCCCATCACAGGCTCGTTTGAACCGGCAATTTACATTGATGAAGATGCTGTTCTATGAAACGTTATTACGCTTCAACCACAGAAAAAAGCTTTGGGTTGTGTGTGACACGGTGGTACTGCGCCAAGTGGTGTAGTACTGTATCGCACTAGAGTTATCATAGTAATTTTGTTTCCTCAAAATACAGTGGACAGTGGGTGTCAAATATAAAAGAGTTTCGATATTTCAGATCGAAATTGAGTGTAAACTTCACTAATTGACGCATCAACATTGTTAATTTTACAGTTTGAAAAAAAAAAATCTGTCATGAAAATTACAAAATCGTTTGTAATATTGCAATGCTGCGATCTTAGACAAAGAATTAAAATAGACCCGCCATGGGAGGAGATCCACGTGCATTTACAACCTTGCGGGATCAGGCTCCCCATCCTTGTGCACCAGTTCGGCTCCGCCTCGCCTAGGCTGCGCTCGGCATCGCTCGGGGGTAGTGCTGTGCGAATGTTCGAAATAGAATCGAATCGGGCCTGGTTCGAAGCACAGAAACGACGGTCATTTTCTTTCATCGCGAGACTTAAAGAAGGGGGGCGGGATTTGATTCGATTCGTTCGTGAATTTCGAAAGATTCGATTCGAAGTTTTTTTGGTCCGATTCGATTCGAAGAAAATTTGAAGAGATTCGATTGGAACCAAACAACTCGATTTGCTCAGCACTAATCGGGGGCGACTTCGGGTCTCGGCTCCGGGTGGACGGGCGACACCTCGCTGATGTCGCCACGCCCCGCCACGTCCTGGGGACAAGGGGGGCCCGAAGATGCAGCCGAATGCTGCCGAGCGGCAGAGCTGGTAGGGGAGAGTGGGGCACCTGGAGACAGGGGCACCTGGAGACAGTTGCGATATCTCGAGATGTTTGAATTTTCGCGCCATCGCGTCCTGACAGGAAGATGGCAAACGGTCCGTAAACCACTTTCAGAAAGGACGGTGGTTGTCATCGAAGCGGTTGTGGAGTCCTTGGCTGTCAAACTTTATGTCTCCCCAAAACACGTAAAAGTAAAAATTTGATTTTTTTCTTCAAAGCTTCATATTGGTCAGTAAGAATTGTCCTAAAAATTAGATAAAAATATCAACGGATTCTGTGATTTGTGAGCTTTCAAATGGCTCAAAAACATGTTGAGTCAGATCACAGGGGTTGTGATGAGCAGCGTCATAACTTCGATGTGTCTCGTGGGGCACGTAGAGACAATTTTTGTGGGGCACCTGGAGACACCTTAATTTATGTCCGAATGTTATTAAAATCACGTGATTATCAAAAACTAATGCCAAAAAATGTTTACAGAAATGGTCCGGAACTACAAACCTAAGACAGACAGGGGTAAATTTGGAGAGGGCAACATAAAGGCAGCCATAGAAGCAGTAAAGGGAGGCCTTTCATTGAGAATTGAAATTTTGAAATATTATGTTGACTTTAATTTAAGTATGTAACAAGATGTTACATTTAAATGTGCTAAAACTATTAGCAGGTGACATTTTCACTTTTCTTTTATGTTGACTTTACTATGAGTAGCATACCTCTCAAAATGTTACTTGTAATTACCAAGGCAGAACTGGGCCATTCTTTAGTGTTATGGGGGAGGAAGGGGAGGGGTGGAACATGCTATTTTGGCAATAAACTGCACTATTTGTAGTTGCTAGAGTCAAATTCGATGGCTGTCTCCAAGTGCCCCAGGGGTGGGGCACCTAGAGACATAGTGCACCCTGCACTCAACACACCACCATACCTAAACCGTTCAAAATTTTCCAACAAACAAAACTGATCCAGTTACTTCTAAGTTAGGGCTTTCACCTCGTCTCTCAAACGCGATCCTAACTTTAAAATCCACTGAGTGGTGGGTGAAAATAGGCGAAATGTCTCCAGGTGCCCCACTCTCCCCTACCCAAGTGGGTTTGGGAGGCCTGAGGTGGCCGGGCCAGACAAGGTTGTAAACGCACTAAATCGGGTATTGTCTAAGGCTGCGATGCTGATGGCAAAATGATCAGATCACTCCCTATGAAATATGAGACCTGATCGAAGGTAGGTCGAAGAAGACTTACCTCCGAATACGAATATCTTGCTCCCGAACATTGTTCAGTTTCAGTCGGCTGTGAGGATGAAGGATCGAGCTGATATGCTGCTCATGCTACGTGCAGCGGCTTTATACCAAAACCCGTCCTCAGTACTTATCGAAAATAAGTGGATCGAGACAAGTGGTGGATCAGGTGGCCTGCTTAATCAGGCCAGAAAGTACTCATGTCAAAAAGATATGCGCTGTGCAATTAGGACAAAATACGCAATTCCAATTCATATTCTTATCAGGTTACGTCGGTATAAAGCATTTAGCCAGATCTGCTGATTTGACTATCAATTGGCTATTCGCATATGGAGTGGAGTGGTACTGATAAGGCGTCGCGTTGAAACTTGCAGTGCGAAAGCTGGTATCGCATCTATTACGAAGAAACTACTAGGCGTTTCAGGGTAGACGATGGTGCGGGCCAGGGCCGGACTGGGACGGTTATGTTAGCATGCCCTTCTGTCACCGTTGCGTTTTGGGCTCTCCTGAGCGCAATGTTTTGAATTGCCACATTCGCGTTGCGGCATTAGAAAGAGAAAAAGTCAAAGAATTTTTTGAGGCAATAAAAAAATAATGATTGCCTGGGCGATTATCGAAGCCTATTACTCAATGATAATCAAAAAGTTTCTAGTCTGTTTGTCTGTCATCACGATAACTCGAGAACGGTCTGAGCTGGGTACCTCACATTCTTAGTGTAACTTTGTATCAGAAAAAGCAAGAACTCTCTACCTTAAAAATTGGCCTGTCAAAAAACTCAAGAACAAACTCTATCTCAGGCGCCAGGGGGCGATTTCCACACTGAAAATGACCCCAAAACATTTAAATGTTTATTCTCAGATATTTGATAGTCTGCGGTGGGGTTACTCGTCAAATTAAAATCGTGAGGAGCAAAATTTGTGACTTTTGGGGCCAAAGGCCTATTTACGACTCTGCATTTTGCCCGACTCGGGTCTCAGCGCCGCAGGCCTTTGTAGATGTATGCCAGGCGCGTCGCAGAGTAACACTGTTTTGTGAGATATCGCGAAGCCTGTTACGCGAGACGTGGTCTGGCGTACATCTACCTAGTATTTCTGTGGATGGCTATGGCCGTTTTCACCAAAACCGACCCAAACTGACATTCAAGGCCATCGGGCCCTTTTGCTCTGGTGCTAAAAGGGCTTTTGCTGCAGACAGCTTTTGTGGTGGAATCTTATCCACTAACGTAACTAGGTAGATGTACGCCAGACCACGTCTCGCATAACAGGCTTCGCGATATCTCACGAAACACTGTT